CATAATGGTTCTTGCTTTGTAATGATTCTTGTAGTCTTTCTTATGTTGCTCATTCATCACTCTTTTTTCTATCTTATTCCCACTAGCATCAACATGATGTTCATAGCCATTGACTACCATATCCCATGGATCAACATTGTGACCAAGAAAGAAACTCTATATTCTGTATTTCTAGTAGTCAATCCTTTCTCCAAAAAAGACTGGAGGTTTGGCGTTAAAGTTATCTCTTTCATTCGCAATGGGTGCAACTGGTGGAATGATTCATGCCTTAGTGTTTCAAAAAAATCTGGATTTTTATCTGACATGGTTAAGTGTTTGATAACAATCAATATTGGAACCAGAGCTCTGATGCCAATTGAAGTTACATGAAACACAAGAAGGGGTTGGGAGGGTTGAATCGGGTTTCTAGAAATGAAAACCTTTTCTTCCAAAACGAACAAGGATGAACAAGAACAAAAATAAATGAACACAATTATTTTGATTTTGGTTCACTATTAGCAAAGTTAATCTAGTTCACCCATCAAGGTGATTTTGTGTTTCTCAACAAGGACTTAATCCACTATAATCAAATTGATTACAATAAACAAAGACTACCCGTCAATGTCTTCTTGAGAAATTCTTACTATACCTGAGTCTCTCAAGGAACAATCAACTTCAAAGTTGAAATACAAAAAGGGAGTGTTTACAAGATGATTCTAAGAAAGAAGATTTACGCAAGTTGAAATACAATGATAAATCCAAAAGTTTTTTTAACAAGTTAATGAACAAAATCTCATTGCTTTACAACTCTTTACAAAAGAATAAATGAATAAGAGAATTTAGCATAAAGTTTTTTTTTCAATGGTGCAAAGTTGTTTCTTCTTACTTCCAAGCCTTCCTTATATAGCCAAAGAAAGATCTGTTGGAGGGTAGAATGGGAATTAAAAATTCCAGTTGTATTCTTGCTTAACGATAAATGTGAGTGATAGACAATATTGTACCATAGTATTGTCCTTGCGCTACAAAAATTGGTGTAGTGGAAGGAATATTTGATCTTGTATCATGTACTATTTACTCACGCAAAACCTTGTCGATCTTATCTTCTAATCTTCAAAGGCTTCAGAAAATGTGTTGGCGAAGCATGTTTAAAAGGATCAAAACCCAATAAGAGTCTTCAGAACCTTGTCTCCAGAGTCTTTAGAACTTGTTCAGCAGAACCTTGTCTTCAGAATCTTCAAAACTTATTCTTCAGAACCTCGGAGTTTGAGAAGTCCTCAGAAGCTCTACCATCAAAGTCACAACCAAAAGCTCCAGACTAACGTTCATCAGAACCTTTATTTAGAAGCATTTATGAACTTGAAAATGTCTTGTAACACATACTTTGTATCTCTCCAGAGTTAGGGTGTGTTGATTCCAAAAACTGATGGTGTTACCTGCCATTCTATCAGAGTCAAAACTTATTAGCAAAAGCTACACACTAGATAAAACCATTAGGGTACAAAATTGATCTCTAAAAAACAATGTAATGTTATCATTAAAACTAAAGGCCAGCTACAAAACCAAATCTTGTTCTTACACCATTTGATCTTCCGAGTTACCCTATACTCCAAGATGTCAATCATTCCGTAACTCCCTTATCATTCTGTAGCCCCAGACATTTTGTAATTGCCCAAGGCTGGGCTTCGATTGTTACGACGATGAGAAACATGTCATGAGACTTTTGGATTTTAGGAGATCTATTCGAAAAATCATTTGGAACTGATGGACCCAAAATGTTGATCGGATGACAGTGATTTAGAACTCGGTTGACCTTAGCTCTACAAATCTAAATCTGGATCAGGGGGAAATCCATTAGCCAACCTTGGTAGGAGTTAGAGATCGAGATTCCTTGTTGGTTTGAGCTAAAACTAAGCTTGATCGGTCAAAACCCTATAAACCTAAGTCAATATCTAAGGATGTTAATTGGTTTCATCTCACAGTGGTACGAGATCAAGACGAAAAATGATTGTAGTAGGATCTTAATTCTATGGATTCAAACGACTGAGATCACAAATCTTGACTTCAGGGAACTTTGATACTTTCATTGGAGATGCTTTCAGATTCTAGATTTGAGAATCGTACTTGATCTCGTGGAACCTCGATTCCTTCACCAAAGATACTTTAGGATTCAAATCTGACAATTGGCCTAAATCTCGTGGAAATCTAAGGAATTAAAAGTCATTTTCCACATACAACGTCAATATTCTCTTGTGGAACCAGAAATGGAGAAGGTTATGGAAACTACGGTGGGGAGAAGCTTCCTAAGTGATTCAGTGATGTGACACCTTAGATCAGAGGTTGCGATCGTGATTCAACTTGAATTAGATACATTGATCTTAAATCTATGTTGCTAACCTCTTGTACCTGCATGGTTTACACTCCAACACCCAAGTTAGTTTAAGGTTCAAGAGGCTCATAGTGATAATAGAGATTAAATATTGTGTACATGAAAACCCCTTATGAAGATATTTATACTTTGGGCTCAATGGAACAAATTAGATAAGTGAGCCTAATCTTATTGAGCCTTCAGCCAACACGAAATAAAATAAAAACTTTATCTGATTTAATTAGATATTATTTTCATTGAAATTAAATTTCAAGCTATTGATTGAATAAAATTATGATTTTAGTATGTTTCATCCAAAATTCTCAAAAATGCAAGACAAGATGTTAAAAATGAAATTACACGTCTTATAATATATATATATTATCTTAAATTGAAACATTGAATTACACATTATAATAAAAATCTATAAGAAAAAACCTATTTTTGATTTAAAAAAATAATTGAAGAATAAAAATGTTTTGAGCAATATTTTTTTATAAAGTGTATCCAACTTAAATAAGATTAGGAAAAATATCAATGCTTTTAAATAAAAGATTAATTGGAATGATTAAGGTACTGTTAAGAATTTAAAGATTCATGGAGAGACAAACAAGAATAGTGTCTCTCACAACAAGAAATTCAAGAAGAAGGTGGATATGAATGAAGTGCAATGTTATTGTTGCAAAAATTTGGTCATTATGAAAATGCTTGTTGCTTCAATAAATAATTAAATGGTAGTGACAATGAATACGCACAACTTGCATTTGTAGACAAAAGTGATTTTGATGAGGTTATATTAATGGAAACACACATTTGGAACAAGATAAAGCTAATGTATGGTATTTTGACATAGGTTGCATTAACCACATGACAAGCAACAAAGATAGGTTAGTCAAGCTTGATAAATAAGTAAGAATGTCGAATAGATTTTCACACAACGACACTCTTACATCTGAGCGTATATGAAATATTCTTTTGAAGAGGAAGGATTAGCAAGCAGCAATTATAAGGGATATGCTATATGATCCTTCAATGGTAAGCAACTTAATAATTTTGGGTCAATTGTTTGACTAGGACTATATAATAAGATTAAGAGACAAGGAGCTAAAGGTGTTTGATGCAAGTTCCATGCTAATATTGAAGGCACCACTATTAAAAAATAGAACATTCAAAATCGTGATCAATAACTTCATCATCAATGTCCCGTATCAACCACAACTGGGGATCAAAACTAGCTTTGACATCAGAAATATGACCATCAAAATTTTAGGAGTCTTAGCCTAATGCACGTGAAGATAATGGTATATAGACCGCCTCAAATAAAAATTCTAAATAATCTATGTGAATAATTTTATGTTGCTAAGCAAACAAGTAAGTCATTCAAGCATTACTTGTCTATGTAGTTAAAGCAAAAGTTAGAGACCATTCACTTAGATGTATGTGGACCATTTTAAGTAAAATCAATGAAAGATAATTGTTATTTCTTAATCTTCAGAAATGAATTCATCATGTATATGTGGATTTAATTGATGAAGAATAAAAATAAAGTATTCACAAATTTCAAGAGAGTCAATTTGTTACTTGAAAAATAGGTTGAATGTGACATCTAGAGGTTGAGAACTGATGAAGGTGGTGAGTATAACTCAATTTAATTTGCATAATTATATTAGAAGGAAGGAATTGACCATGAGATAACAACTCCTTACACACCTTATCACAATGAAATTGTTGATAGAAAGAACAAAAGCATATTGAACATGGCAAGAAGCATGCTCAAGGGAAGACAAACTCCAAACAGTTTCTGGGGGGAAGCAACATCAATTGTAGTTCACATCATTAATAGATGTCTATAAAAGTATTCAATCATCAAGATACCTTATGAAGCATGGGATGGCTTGAAAATTTAGTGTTTAACACTTCAAGATTTTTGGCTCACTCTGCTACAAGTAGAGCTACTTAGAAGGAAACTAGAAGATAGAAGTCAATCTATGATTCTAATTGGCTATCACTCAACAGGTGCATACAAATTATTCTCACAAAATGAGAATAAGGTGGTGATAAGTAGGGATGTGACATTTCACAAGATCAAAGGATATGATTGAAAGTTTCAAATAATTCAGTGTAAAATGGTGAAATCCCAAATTAAATCAGCATTACTTTATAAGCCGACCAAGTAAATGAAGCAGCACAAACACATGAGGTGATTGGACCAACACGGGTCATAACTCAATCAATCAAGTTAATTGACTATGAAAGATTTCCTTACCAAGCCATAGATGAAAATGGTGACCTGGTTGAAGAAGGCATGACAACTGAATGTGATCAAACTAACCTCAATCAAACCCTGAAAGATGAAAATTGACAAGAAGCTATAAAGGAAGAAATTAAGAAAATTGAAGAAAAAAAATCACACACGGGAGTTGGTCAATAATTAAATTAAGATATCCATAGATGTATAATGGGTATATAAGTTAAGGCTCAAGCCTAATGGAAATAAGGGACCTCTAACCTGAACAAAGTACGAAAGGCATCTGAAAAAAAAACCCCACATGTCAGTAGCATATAAACCACAGACGAAATACAGGTCCTTAGTAGCCAAAATAGTAGCAAACTCCTCTGAGGTACTAGGTAGCTGGGAAGGAAGAATAGCAGGAAGTTAGAAGAAAAGAGTTAGAGCATCCCGTTCATCGTCCTCTGTTAAACGAACTCGCTTAGGAGAAACTCCTCTAAAAGGAGTGGACGAATTGTCAACCCGACCCTTTTGTCATGGGAAGGAGAAGGTGAAGGTCCCCGAGTAGATAAATCAGTTGCAAGAGCATCCATATGATCAATTTCAGGTGTCAGAACCTAGACCATCTTTGGGGTAGCCACCACAACAGGAGCCCAAACCTCCGAGACATAAATAGAAGCAATAACAAGTGTCACCACCACCAAGATTGACAAGCCAACAGCCAGACCCTGGTTACTCCCAAGCTCCAGAGATTTTCGTAATTGACTCAACTGATTCATGTTAGCTACAAAAGCACAAATTGCCTGGTCAAAAAAGGGGGGGGGGGAGCACTCGGATCTCCATCCTCAACAAAGAGTTTTTGTCTCTCAAAATGTTAAGAAGCATTAATGATATCATGGGTATCTATTTTCTCTTCTTCTAATGAAAGAAAAACACTTCACCGGACCAAAACCTTCTTCATATCTAAGCCCTTGATACTAGGCATGTAAATCCTCTTGAATTTTCACTTCTTTGGGAGACAAAGAAGTTGGCTCAGAGTGATAAAAAGAGATAGGTCGGTAGAAATGAACTATGGACTAATATTTTAAAAAGCAACCTCTAAAAGAGCAGGCACCTCCCACCAGACCCAAAAACGAGAAAAAGGCCATATGCGCACCGGAAGTGACGAGTTTCACCAATACGAAATGCTCCAAAAAATTGCCCTAGTCAGAAGCCAAAAGGTAGAACCAAGGTACTTGAAAGAGAAGAGAGATCAATCATTAATCTTGAGAATCATTCACCGAAGAACGAGCCATAGAGAAGAGGTCAAATAAGAACTCCAACAAAGGCTTCAAAGACTTATACCTGACATAAAGTTGGAACACCAACATAAAGGCCTGAGCTCTAGGATGAAGTTGCGAGGGGGGAAACTTTTAGATGGATCATCATAGCCACAAAAAAAATAGAGAAGGATAAATGCACCCCTAACATGGTAAATAAGCACTCGTACATGGGAACTGAGCAACCCTCAAAAGAGCTACACACCTCTCATCCGGACCTACTAGTAGAATCGCCCAATCTGGTGTATTGCCTACTATGATGTTGGCCTGAGTTACGATTTCAAAAGTGTTTAGGACAGAAGGAGTCACAACTATTTTAGCGGCCACCCAATGATATTTATTCGCATTGGCCGATGTTTATTAATCTAAGACCTTTATAGGATAATACGTCAAGCTGTTATTCACACTCCAGATGAAGATCGATCTTTGTGTCACTAGGATCATGACCAATTGACTTTTGATATGTTTGAACAAAATGACCGACATGTTCCCTCCTTTAACGAGAAACCTCTATTCCTGCCTCGTCAAGACAGGAGGAGGCATCGGTCTCTCGGCAAGGTTTTCAACCCCATTGAATTTCATAGAGAACATGGATTCTAAAGTGTTCATGGAAAGATTTTCATCTGAAAAAGATTCTCCAGATGAATCCCCCATCTCTGAGTTATCACTTAAAATGATGATTCTTGATTAAGAACCCCTACTACAGAGGGAAGGAATGTGACTCAGACTTAATTCCCCTTTTAAGAATATGAAGAAACATTACCCTCGTAGACATTCTCGATGATAGTAGGGTTACCAATCATTGTAACAAAATTCTATAAAAACTTGAGTAAAAGCCTAGGAGAAGAAAAGGTACCTTAAAATATGAAGGCAAAGGCTCTAAAAATGAGAAAGGAAGCTGGAAAATCAAAGATTTAGCACTTCAAATTTATGAACGTGCAACAACGGTTACTTTGGGAAGTAAGTGCTCTCAAATAAGAGGGAAAACTCAAAGAGACGAGAGAAACTTAATCTATGAGAAGGATAAAAAGTTTCTCCATGTCTTCTCTCTATCTTTATATAAGCAAAGACAATCAAACGATTCTGATTAAAAGTAGGAAATAAGGATAGGTTGACGGTTAGATTTCGTCTGGGGAAGACAACCATGCTCGAGTGTTCTCGAGTACACAAAAAGTCGCGTCACATCACCCCATACATTTTCAAGTCACGTCAAAGAAAAAACGGTGAAACATTTTAATGATAGGACTACATTTAATTCATGCACTCACATCATGCATTGGAAAAACCAAAGTGACGCATGTCAACTAACGTATGGATAAAATTCCTTTGAGGCGCACCATTATTATTGAAAGACTCCCTCATCATCAAACATGTCTGACGAGTCTTAGGGTAACTCTTTCGTGCTAACCAAAGACTCGGGATCCACTACTCTGTGTCGGCCAGAGGTCCAATAACATGAGACCCATTAGTTAGCCTACTCCATCAGGTCCAAGGTATAAATATCTTCCAAAGAGTTCTAAGGTACCTTTAAATTACAAAATCTCTGAATTACACTTTTCACTACCTTTGATCTTGAATCCTAAACTGACTTGGGCGTTGGAGTGCTAACCATCCAGGTATCCCCTTAGATCCATTGTATTGGAGATCGTAAAACTGTTAACAACATCACATCAACACTGATACCTCTGGTTCATAAAGCACTATGGTCACAACCTTCGATTCATTGTGCCACAACAACGTAGTGCGACTGAAACTCTATTTCTCCGTAATTTCTACGATAATTATCATTTATGGTTCCGAAACTGAACAATAAAAATTGACAACTTCGTGATAAATAATTTGTATCGTCACTCTAATTTCATTCTAATCCTCTCTAATTTTATCTATCCTCTTTATACTCATTATTTCATTCTAATCCTCTCTAATTTTATCTATCCTCTTTATACTCATTACCTTGTGTGACAAATTATTCCAACATTGATATTTTATTTTTTCTCTATGATTTGATAATTTCTCTATTAATTTTTTATTAAATTTTATTAAGGTGGCATCATTTATTATTAATGGAAAAGAAAACTATATGAGCATAAAACTTTTCATTCAAATTAAAAATAAAATAAAAAACATATTAAAAAACACAAAATTTTGAAACTCTAATTAAGACTTTTAAATACTTTTATGCATACAAGTTGACTTTTTACGTTTTGTATACTTTAATTATCAGGAAAGATCAATGATATTTATGGGAGTTTGGTACATGTCACTAAACAAAGCCACTTCAATGTAAATTTAATGAAAAACTAAAAAGAAAAACACCAAATCACAAAGAAGGAAAATTTAAAACACTAAAATCATTTAAAATGAAATGGCAAAATTGTGTGATTGAGATATTTGGAGGAGTGGCCGAAAAACAACGTTTTAAAAATTGAATGGGTTATCAAATAGTGAGGATGTAAGGACAATGATTTATTAGTCGAATTATTAGATTATTAGTTGGAATGCATAAATTAAAGTGAATATTAAAGTGAATTATATCGCATTGATTGAAATAAAATATATAATTATTATCAATTGAATCAGATAAATCTGTTTTTAAAAAATATAACGATATCTATGTAATTTTAAGAAATAATAATTTCACAAATTTATTTTTTAAATTTTATTTATAAATATTATCACCACACACAACAAAATAATATACATAAAATATAAATCAAAATAAATTTAAACAATCTTATTGCAATAAACGGGATAACAAAATAACTTATCTAATAAATTTAATTTTAAAGAAAAAAAATAATTGTAAAAAAATTTTGAACAAAATATATTTATATTTTAAAATTATTTTTTTAAAAAATTATTAAAATAAGTTCTTTTGTATGAGAAAAAAACAAACAATTAATCCTTTTCTTTTTTAATTTATTTTTCAATTTTTATCGGTTCATACAGATTTAATATTTTACTCGGTCCAACAATTAATTCAGACTAATGACTCATAGTCTGACTAATTTGACTAATTCGATCATCTAATTTTTAAAATATTGCCAAAATTATGATTATTTTTCTAAATGCATTCTTTATAATTCTAAATAATAAAAGCATTTAAAACGAAATTTAAACATTTGAGTTTCCAACATATTGACTACACCAATATCTAAGAAAAGAATTAAATTTTTAGTGTCTTTGGGACGTTAGTACTTATGAAAACAAAGAGAGTCAATATAGTTTTAGCAGTCAACGCTCAACAGAAGTTAGAATAAAATATGTACAAACAAAACGAGTGATTACAAGTCAAAGGCATCCTTGCATTCATACACCATCTTTTTCCTTGGGTCAAACAGAAATTGCATAAAAACAGTTCTGAGTTCGTAGTTGACTTGAACAATGATAGGTTGTACATTACAACTCGAATTTGGTTTTAGTCGTATACAGCTACATGCCATAAAGAAGAAATTTATAATTACCACGTGAAATCTATTGGCTAAGTAGATTTGCTTTTGTTGATTATATAAATAGTTTGATGTATTTCATCAAGGTGTTTTAAAAATTGAATTTGCCGTTGAATAGGTGAGAATATTAAATTATTGATTTATTAGTTAAATTATTAAATTATTATTTAAATTGTAAGACTAAATCGAATAAAATTAGATAATTTTATTGAATAAATTTGTCTCTAAAAAATTATATAATTATTAAATTGATCGAACTGAATGATTCGGCCTCTAAAAAATCATGATATCTAAAAAATTTGAAAATTTGAAAATATAATAATTTTACAAGTTTATTCTTTACATTCAAATTATAAACGTATTTATCACACACAACAAAATAGTTTAAAATACAAATTCAAATAAGTTTTGAACAAAGTCTGATCTCAACATAATCTAATTGCAACATAAATGGAATAACAAAGTCTAATCAATTTAATCTTAAGAAGAGAAAATTGTTTCAATGTTGAACTATCCTTCTTCATCAAAAGCATCCGCGTCAAAATCAACCGTAGTATCTTCCTCATCAATGATATCATTACTTTGATCCATGTTTTTTCCATAATTGAGTTGTACATCATCCTCATCTAACTTTTTTTTTAATAACCAACCCAATTCCATTAAACAGAAATACTAGAATTGGGGACAAAAGATGAAGGGATGAAACCCAACCAAATTTTGGAGCCAACTACTTTACCTATCCCAACTATGGAGTGGACTCCACATTTTTATCTCTACCAATAAACAAAACAACAAACTCAGAGAAGTCCTTAAGCGAAAAATGACAATCTTTAACAATCGGGACAATATCAACACATGTTCTAGAGTTGTTCACGCAGTCCACAACCAGTAAAGCGTCTGAGTGGACATTAATCTTAGACAACTTCAAATCTCTAGAAGGACTGCCATAAAGGCGAAGGAATATGTTTTTATTTTTTCCTTGTAGAATTAGGAGGCGAGAGGCAGAAAGAA